ATTGGAAGATTTTTGCAACACACATAATAAAAAAAGATAAATATCCAGAAAATGCTACAACTCCTATAAATCAGTAAAGAAAAAAAAACTCAATAAAAAATGGGCAAAAGAAAAGAACAAGCAATCACAGAAAAAGAAACAAAGTGGCCAGTAAACATAAACTGTTCAACCTCAGCAAAATTAGAGGAATGCAAACTAAAGGTACTATTTCTCACCAATCAATTTAGCAAAAAGCAATAAATTAAATTATTAATCCGAGAGTATTAGCAAGGATATGGAGGAATAAGAAACCCCCATACACCTGCTGATGAGAATGTAGATTGTTATACGCACTGCGGAGAGTTGAAAATGCAAACACCTTCCTCTTACAGTTAAACAAAGAAATCTGAATAAACACCCTTCTTTGCTCCCCACCAAACCCCACTGAAACAAGAATTCAAAAATGTAAAAGATGTACATGAACATGGACAAAAAGAATGAGAAGGGCACAGAGCATATAAGAGGTTTCAACAGAATTTACTAAAAGGTGAAGTGAATGAATGAATGAATGAATGAATGAATGAATGAAAAAGAGAAATCTAAAATCTAACTGGCTAAGAGGGAAGGGAGACAAAGGAGAAGCCAAATCATGCTAGAGAAGCCAGAAAAGGATCTGAATTAAGAAACATGAGGTTCCTCTCAAGGTAGTTCAATGTAAGCACGAGGTGTGGTTGAAAATCCTTCAAAAAAACCTTCAAGCTCCCAGATCCTCTACTATGAGGGTAGGTTCACTCTCAGAAAAAGGTCAGACATAGCAAATACAACTAAGGTGGAGATCAAGCACTGCTAAGTGGGGTAGGGTATGCTAATTGACTACATCATTATCGGTTCTATCCTCTTCCTTATTAACAAAACTCTGTATCTTTACCTGAATATATAGCTGCTCATAATGGAAATTCCTTTTCCTAGCATCCTATGAGAAGTGGACACACATAATGGCCAGTAACATATAGGCAGGGGGTTGTGGAATAGTTGCCAGGAAACACCCTAAAGGTCGAGCCCTGTGCCTTTCTCCCTTTCTCCATCCTACCACCTGGAACTTGAATATGATTACAACCTGGACCTGAGAACAATATTCTAGGTTTTATACAGCACAAAGCTGAAAGGAATCTGAACCTCAATGAACTTCACAGAACCACTATATAAGACCTGGGCTACCAGAACTACCTGCCAGCCAACTTTTTACAAAAGAATAAAACCTTGGCTGGGCGCCAAGGCTGATGCCTATAATCCCAGCACTTTGGGAGGCCAAGGTGGGTGGATAACCTGAGGTCAAGAGTTTGAGACCAGCCTGACTAACATGCAGAGACCCCTTCTCTACAAAAAATACAAAATTAGCTGGGTGTGGTGGTGCATGCCTGAAATCCCAGCTACTCGGGAGGCTGAAGCAAGAGAATCGCTTGAACCCAGGAGGCGGAGGTTGTGATGAGCCAAGATCACAGCACTGCACCCAGCCTGGGCAACAAGAGCAAAACTCCATCACAAGGAAAAAAAAAAAACAAAAAAAAAAGAAAGAAAGAAAACCTTAACTCAGATAATTTGGAAAATACCACACAGAAATGAACCTAATCCTAATGGAGGTGTCACTAAAAACAGATGTACCTGATAGAAAGACTGCATACATGATTGTTAAGATTCCCAACCTCCATTCCCCAGGATAAAATTTAGAAAGCTGATAAGCAGACTTTTTCATGGAAGGACACTAGAAGCTTTCTCTCTAAAGAAATCGATCACCATAAAAGAAATGACACAATGCTGGTAGCTGGTATATCTGAAGTTTCAAAAAAAATAAAAAACCAGCAGGGTTCCCATTTGATCACCCTAGTTCACCATTTACCAAGGTCTAATCAATTTTTAGTAAAAGCCACTTTATGAAGGAAGAAGTATCATACAAAAAGGTTTTTTTGTTGTTGTTTTCTGTTTTGTTTTGAGACAGGGTCTCAGTATGTTGTTCAGGCTGGTCTCTAACTCCTGGGCTCTAGTGATCCCTCCGCCTCAGCTGGAATTATGAGTGCATGCTACCACACCCAGAACAAATGAGTTTTTAAGTAATCATTCTCATTATTATAATATGCATAAATATATACTTTAGAAATTTTAACAGAACACCTACAAGTTAGCAGTAAGAAGCCAAGTCTATCAGTAGAGCTATATATGGAGCTGCATATCAGGACTTACTAAGATAGCTTCAATTCTTTAGGAATTAGTTTAAACCCTCTTTTTCAAAGTTCATTAGTTTAAAAATTCATTAAATTAAAAAATTAATGTTAAGTTTACACAATTATCCAAACATAATCATTAAAAATAAGATATTCTGCCAGACTTGAATGAACATCACACAACTGACTCACATCTAATTTTATGGCATATATACCTAAGGAACTTTTGTACCTACGTTCATTATAAAATTTAGTAGTATCTCCAAGCTTAACCTAACCCCTCCAGAAGACCGAAAAGTAAAAATACTTAGTATTTGTTGAATGAATGTGGCAGAAGGAGAATATACAGAGGTGACTAAAAAAACATGGTTAGTTTCAAAGAGACTGTATCTACAACAGGTCCACTTATCTATTAGGAACAGCTGACACATTTAAGTCTGGTAAAAATAAAGGTATGAACAAATGAATGAAGTTTTAAAGTTCACAGGACAGCCTCATCCAAACCATCATCCACCATCCTTCCATGTCTGTTAGTTTTTAAACCCATGCACCAAATGCCTCTGAAGATCCCAAATTTGAGGACTGGAATCAAATTTGATCTATTCAACAAGATTTTTATCATAGAGTTCATTATACAACTATGTTTTCTTAATATTACTAATGGAAAATCCTCACTGAATGCTATTCATGCCTACATAATAATTACTTTGAAACTTTATGTTAATTCTAAAGAATGGCTAAGTGTTCCCAGGTTAACTTAAAAAAAAAAAATGCTTATACTATCAGACTAATGATCCTTGCGGCCCAACAGTCCTACCTCTAAAATTTGACACCAAGGGGTCATTATTTCTCTGGGTCATCTATTCAATATCCCTTCCTTTGGAGAACCAACCCTTCCCCAGTCTGGACTTATCTTGTTTTGATCCATAGGGTAAGGAGAAATTAAACCGGCTGGATGACTCAGACAGGGGCAATTAAATTAGTCCATTTCCCACCATCATATACTGGTGCAAACAAATATGATGGCCCAAAGGCCCAGAGGCCTCCCATGGACTTCCACCAGAATTAAGGAGAAAAGTACTCTCTTCTCTAAGATACTGAGTATTGTGGACTTTCGTAAGCACACTACACCCATCCCTGTCAATACATGACGCTTTCGAGGGAAGCATCATGTAGGCAAGACGATCTCCAGTGATACCTAAAGCTAGGGAAGGAATATCCCTAGACTTGTCAGTTAGCAGAATAAGTCCTTTCTTAGCTCAAGCTAGGTTTAGCCTGGGTTTCTGCTCCTTGGGTCGGAATACAATTGTGTTTCTCCTGTGAACCAAGTAGAGTATATTATACAAAGAAAACGAGATCATTAACAAGGTAGGCAAAAGAAATTAACTCTAAAGTCCTATAATAATGTTCTTATCATAACTATTAAGTATCATGAAAGGAGCCCTCATTAAATACAGCGTGAGCTAAATAAGCATTTGCTAAAATAACACATTTACTCCACTATGTATATACCTGTTGGTGAACAAACTGCTTTTAAACAACCTACCTTGAACGGTTCTATTATGTAACTAGAGTTTTATTTCAAATAGTTGTAGCTCCTAACTTTCTGTCATTTGATAATTTTGAACTGAGGAAGATGGTCCATTTCATGTGGACAATGTAATGAGTTGATCAGACATGTGGTCCAGTGTCCCAATTCCCCCACTTCCTTCAAGCAACTACTATTATGAAATCTAAATTTGGTCCAAGAAAGACAGTGACGGAAAAATGAGGGAAAAGGGGGAAGCTTCAGTTAGAGACTCAAAAAAGTAAAAACTAGTTATAAGTAAATGTGGCGAGAGATCCGTACATGGCAGACTGGTGCACCCAGGCATCTGATCCACCGAGCCCTGGCAGACCCAGGGCTGGGCAGGCTGGCAGGCAGGACGAGCGGGCAGTCACAGCGGGCCTGAAGGGCTGGCCCTGCTCACCAGCAAGGAATGCTGACCACACCTACGCGCCCGGTCAGGCCGGGGCGGGGCGGCTCGGCCCAGGTTACAGGACTGAGGGAAGAGGGGAGACAGGAAGAGGGGCGGCGAGGGACGGCTGGCAGGTCTACCCACCCCCGGCCCCGCGCCCACCTCAGGAGCGTCTCAAGCGAGCCTTCGTGCTTGTCCAGCGGGCGACCGACTGCGGCGCGGCGCAGCTTGCTGAGCTCCTCCGCCGCGCGGCAGTACTGGGCCTGCTCTTCCCCGCCGCTCGGGTAAGTCTGCTGGATGAACTTCACCAGCGGCTTGGCCAGGTCCACCTCTGAGGTCTTTTTCAGCTGCACCGAGATGAATGTCGCCATGATCACCGCCTCTGCCGCCGTTCGGGCCAAACCGACCTCGGACAGCTACGAAGGCCGAGGAGAGAGAGGTACCGGGTTGGCGGACTGGCGGACTGGCGGACTGACGGGCTGACGGACGTGAGCTCCGCCTGCGTTCCTGGTCCGGCCACTTCCGGGAGCGCCAGCGCAGGCGCACTGGGCGCGGGGGTCCTTCGGCCGCCCGCGGTCACGTGAAGGTGTCGCAGCGGCGACGCCTTCCAGGATCCAGTTTAACCTGTACTGTGCTGTAAAATACTGACTTTCCCCGCATCTAGAATTCTTCCCTTCCTCCTTCCTGCTGCTGTAGTGTACTGAGCACTTTGACGTAAGAGTATTCCTCCACTCGAACAACTTCCTGGAGAGGTACTTCTGTCGCTGCCACCTGCGAGAGTTTGAGGCTGCCTCCCAGAGACGCGGCCCCAGGGTTATTGTGACCAACGAAGTTTCTTCAACTTCTGTTGATGGGCTGCTGTGCACAGGTACGGAGTGCACAGGGAACCTAGTAGGCAAGATCCCTGCCATCGTGCATCTTACTGTCAGGTTGGCACAGACCTTAAGGTAAACTGAAAAAGTATCAGGAAAAAAACAGGGTGCTTGGGATTTAGGACGTTAAGATCGCTTGAAGGACCCTAATTTAAATAAGATAAAGTAGGCTTTCTTCGACTAGGTGAACTGAAAACGAACCTGTATCTGTTGTTGCTGTTTTGTAGAAAGAACAAAATTTTAAATACATTTAAAACAACATCTGTAATTTCAGAAGATGCTTGATATCAGAAGAGGAGAAGAATGGAGAGGGGTGGAGTGGCAAAGGAGAGCCTCCAAACCAAAAGCCTGCAGAGGCCCTGGGAGGCAAGCACTTACCATGTTCCGGGACTGGAAACGAAGCATGTGACAAGACCTTTAAAAACAGAATGGGAGGCGGGGCGCGGTGGCTCAAGCCTGTAATCCCAGCACTTTGGGAGGCCGAGGCGGGTGGATCACGAGGTCAAGAGATCGAGACCATCCTGGTCAGCATGGTGAAACCCCGTCTCTACTAAAAATACAAAACATTAGCTGGGCATGGTGGCGCGTGCCTGTAATCCCAGCTACTCAGGAAGCTGAGGCAGGAGAATTGCCTGAACCCAGGAGGCGGAGGTTGCGGTGAGCCGAGATCGCGCCATTGCACTCCAGCCTGGGTAACAAGAGCGAAACTCCGTCCCCAAAAAAAAAAAAAAAAAAAAAGGAATGGGATGAAATAAAGTTGGAGGAGTAAGCAGGCATCAAATCGTTCAGAAACTTGTAGTCCAAATTGAAGAATTTGTTTAGTATTGTATAATAAATGCAGAGGAAGTATGAGACTTAAGCAATATATATTTAAAATTTACATTTTTTAAAGGCCACTTTGTAGTTCAGTTGGATAGTTTGTCTTTTGATGGGATGTGGTATGTTGTGGTATACAGTATCATCATGGTATAGTCAGGCAAAAATATTTAACTTGAATCTATCAAGCTTTTGCATATAACACAGCTTATGAAAACAACTGATAGGCCGGGCACGGTGGCTCACTCCTATAATCCCAGCACTGTGGGAGTCCGAGGCCGGTGGATCACGAGGTCAGGAGTTCAAGACCAGCCTGGCCAATATGGTGAAACCCCGTCTCTACTAAAAATACAAAACAGCCTGGCGTGGTGGTGCACGCCTGTAATTCCAGCTACTTGGGAGGCTGAGGCAGAAGAATCCCTTGAACCTGGGAGGCAGAGGTTGCAGTGAGCCGAGATTGCCCCACTGCACTCCAGCCTGGGCAAAAGAGCACGACTCCGACTGATAGGTGAACAAATTTAGTGATGCCAGAGGAGGTAACTAGACAGATCCAGAAGGTGAAACTTTCTGCAGGATAAGTGGCCCACCTCTTCAACAATTTGTCATGAAAAAGCAACTGCTTTATGAAAAGAAATTTAAGGGACATAACAGTTTGAATTGGATCCCGGTTTGAACAGACTATAAAATGCATTTTCAGGACCATTAAGGAAATATGAATGTAGATGGACTGAATATTGGATAAAATAGGACTGTATTACCGTGGAAAAAATCATTAACTGAAAAGAGCAAGTCACAAAATGGTATGTATGTTACAACATCTCATTTTGGTTTAAAAATGCACATATATATATTTACATACAACGAAAAAAGATTTAGTGGGCTTATACCCTAAGATGTTAGGAGTGGTAAACTTTGGAAGTGGAAATGTGTATTTTTTCTTTAGGTTTGCCTATATTTTTTATTGTAACTTTTGCAGTACATAGACCACTTTCATTTTAGTAAAAGCTTATTTTACCACAATTTTTTTTTGAGACAGAGTCTCACTCTGTCACCTAAGCTGGAGTGCAGTGGTGCAATCTTGGCTCACTGCGACCTCCGCATACCAGGTTCAAGGGATTCTTCTGCCTCAGTCTCCTGAGTAGCTGGGACTACCAGCAAGAGCCACCATGCCTGCCTAGTTTTTGTATTTTTAATAGAGACAGGCTTTCGTGTTGTTGGCCAGGCTGGTCTCTAACTCCTGGCCTCAAGTGATCCACCCACTTCGGCCTCCCAAAGTGCTGGGATTACAGGTGTGAGCTACTGCACCAACCTATTTTACCACAATTTATTTTTTTTTAATTGTTTATTTTAATTAAGCTATTCTGCATTAAAATAAGTAGCCACCCTTGGCTGATGCATAAAGAAAGCATTAGAGAAAGGAACGAATGGAAGCAAGGAGGCAAATCATGAGACCATTTCTGAAATCAAGGCAAAAGATCATGAAAACTAACATTAGCAAGAGTGAACGAAACTGATAATATCTTTGAGTTTAAAATTGAAGAATTTACCAATGAACTGCATAGAAAAGTAAAGGGATGGTCAAGGATAGATGCTGGTTTTGGGGACTGAATATCTGAGTCATTGGTAGAATCATTACCAATCGATAACCCATGGAAGATGGTCGGGGGTGGGTGGTGTCTTGCAAGTTGGTTGACAGGACTGACCCATTGGGAAGATAATGAAGAAGCAAAATATATGAAAAGAGGAGAAAGGGTAACTAGAGGAAGGAAGATACAAACAGAGTGATTAATCATCAGAAAGATGAGGGACATGACATTTGTTGAGGCAGATGGCAGGCGGGGAGGGGGAGGAAGTTAACAAAGATGTGGTTAATTTTGTGGCATTGATCAAAGGAAGATTAAGGTGATACTATCTGATGACTTAGAATGAAAACCAATCTCCCTACTGCAATGCGATGATCTTTCTCTTCAACTTCGTATTTTGCCTCTTGGTTTCTCATTTGTTACTGCTGAGTCACATTGGCCTTTTTAGTTTCTCAAACTCACTGAGATCTTTCTTGCCTCATTTGATCTAGAATGTTTTCTCCCTTTCTCTATACCTCAGTTGAAAGGTCTCCTCTCCTCATCATCATACTATATAAAGTAGATTCCCTCCCTTGTTAACCTCTAGCTCAGCCATTATTTCCTTCATAACACTTATCCTAATTCACAAGTATTTTGTTTGTTGATTTAATTTTTATCTGGCTTCCTCAGAAGAATGTAAGCTCCATGAAGGCAAAAATTGTGTGTTTTTTATACTAATATGTCTCTAGCACTTGGTAAAGCAGGCACTCAATAAATATTGTTAAATAAGTTTCACCTCTTGTTAAATATATATATGCATATATATATGTATAATATTTATATACTCTACTTTCAAAATAACATACTTTCCCCAACAACAAGCTCCCCAACTAATTAGGCAATAGGCCAGTGACCAAAGAATGACGGTATGTTAGTCAAGATTGGCCAGCTCATGCTCTGACAATAAACAATTTCAGAATCTCAGTGCCTTAATAAACATGTGTTATTTGCTCACATGAAGTCTAATATGTAACAGGCTGAGAGTTGTCCTCCAACCAGTGTCTGAGCAATCCAGACTACTTTGATCTTACAGCTCTGCCATCCCAACATGAGATTCCACTTTCACTACGGAAGAGGGAATCACTACCTCAGCCCTCCCACTTCCACTTGCATTTCACTAGCTAGAACCTTTCACATGGCTCCACCAAACTGCAATGGGACTGAAAAGGAAGAATCAGATATTAGGGAGCATTAATAATGCCTTCCAAGAGTGTGTTTCACTGCTTCTAAACTTGCTTATGATGATGTTAGTTTTTCAACTATGTAATGAAATGCCATATGTTCTTATTGTGTATTCTCAGCATAACAAGTATATTCTGGGAATATTAAGTCAATGGATTTTCCTTCTTGAAAATTCCTAGTTCTGGGCCCATCATTAAGCCCACTGATTGAACCAACAGAAATAGTTGCCTCTTCGGATAGACAGAATCCTGCTGAAGGCAGCTTTGAGTTTCAAAATAGTGTATTTCAAGTCCACATTGAGAAAATAGCCTGAAAGTATGCACATGGACATACAGTAAAAATAAGAATGTATTTAATGAAGAGTATATAATAATGTGACAAAATTGAAATCAAATATAGCATCATATAATACACGTATTTGGGTTTAAATCAACCATTGAAAGAAAAAGACTTTTAAAATGACTCACAAAAGAAAACCCAATGTGATAGATTATAAAATTGGCCATAAATTTTTCCTCTCCCTTTATCATGATTTTGCAATGTGACATTGCAGATCTTCCTATCAGGATGTAGACTCCTTTTCTCCACCTTTAAGTCTGGGTCATTCACGTGAGCTGCTTTGGCCAATGGAGCATTAGCAGTTGTGATGCAAGCAGACACTTCAGTCATCAGGGTTTGTCCTCTCTTACTGCACTTACAGCCCTGTGACCTCCATGTTTGCCATCTTGCCTGCTGAATTATGAGAGATGTGATAGAGTCACTCTCCTAGCCCTAGCCAACAGTTGTCAGACATAGGAACAAGTCTATCTTAGATCATCCAACCACCAGGCAACACCCTAAATGACCTCAGACACGTAAGCAGGCACCTCAGAGATCAGCTGAGCCAACCTAGACCAGAAATTTTAAGCCAATGTACAGAATTATGAGCTAAATAAATGGCTGGTTTTTAAGCCACTAATTTTTGGTATGGTTTGTTATGCAACAGAAGTGAGCTATCATTATGGTAGATACAAGCAAAATACCTAAAACAAAATGATTCAGAAAGGCTAAATAGAAAGGAATAAACAGACATACCAAGTGCTGTGGACTGAATGTGTACCCTCAACATTCATTTCTTGAATCTCAGTTCCAAATGTGATGGTATTTGGAGGTGAGACCTTTGGAAGGTAATTAGGTTGTAAGTGCAGAGCCCTCATGAATAGGAATAGTGCCCTTTTAAGAAGAGACACAACAGAGCTTACTTCCTGTGTCACTCTGCCACATGAAGATAAAGTAAAAAGGTATCTGTCTGCAAAGCAATTAGAGGGCCCTCACCAAAACCTAGTCATGTTGGCGCCCTGCTCTTAGACTTCACATCCTCCATAACTGTAAGAAATAAATGTTGTTGAAGCCAAACAGTCTCTAACAACCTGGACTCACTAAAACACCAGACAAATGGAAACAGTAAGAATGCAGGCTTGTTCTTTTGATATCAGACAATTTGGACCAAAATGGCTTAAATGTGAACATCATGCTAAAGGTTAAAATTATCCAGAAAAAAAAATGTAGCTAAAGGCCCAGTAAAGATAAAAGTTTGAAATTTGAAACTTTTGCGTCAAATAACCCAAAATAATCTGTGTACCAAACAACACAGCAACCGCCATCATAACAAAGAAACTACAGGATTACATTTCCAAGTAATAATTTCTCATCTTTGGCCAACTCTATGAGTAGCTAAGGGAATTTTAAAAAATATTACTCAGGGATGATCCAAAGAAGATACATTTGGAAGCAAGATAGGTGGCTTAAGTCTGCGTTGAACAATAATTTGTCATACCTCATTATAAGAGATGTAGCCACGGCCAGGCACAGTGGCTCACGCCTATAATCCAGCACTTTGGGAGGCCAAGGCAAGCGGATCACTTGAGGTCAGGAGTTTGAAACCAGCCTGGCCAACATGGTGAAACCCCATCTCTACTAAAAATACAAAAAAATTAGCCAAGCGTGGTGGCAAGTGCCTGTAATACCAGCTACTCAGGAGGCTGGGGCGGCAGGATCGCTTGAACCCAGGAGGCAGAGGTTGCAGTGAGCCGAGATCATGCCACTGCACTACTGCCTGGGTGAGACTGGGTCTCAGAAAATACAAAAGAGATATGGCCTTGTAAAATTATAGGACAGATAGGAAAGTATATGTCTTCTACCTTGTGGTTAGGCTATACTCTATAAAAATTAATATTTGTCCGTGGGAGATGGTGATTCAACAGTCCCCTGCAGGACAGTCAGGAGAACAAAGAAGTTCATTGATAACTCACAAGAAGAGTTATCTGTCCTGTACTTTTTGGTGAAACCTGGATAGTCAAAGTTCCCCACGTTCCCCATCCTAACTTGGAATATGAGTGGATTCCTCTGTCTTTACCGAGCACACTCTACCCCAGAGTATTAGTTTAGCTTAGTTGTTATCAAATGGGTAATTCTGCTCTCCAGTGGACATTTTTGATTGTCACAACTTGGCAGGAGAAGATGCTACTAGCCTGTAGTGGATAGAGGCTAGGGATGCTTCTAAACACTCTACAATGTACAGGACAATCTCTCATAACACAAATATTACCCAGCCCCAAATGTCGCTAGTACTAAGGGCAAAATTCACTTGAAAAGCATATTGCTCAGACCAGGCTTCAAATTTTGAGAAATATACTGCTAGGGTATAGTCTGATCTATTTGCAAGGGATGAGTTCTTCCAAAGAATGAACGAAGTCTTGCTTTGAGTGGTGAGAAGAAGGAAGCATTGTTGCAGAGATATTGGTGCCTAAGAATAGAGGAGAAAAATAAGGAAGTGGACTACACCAATAAGGGTTGAACTTCTGGAGGAATTTTCCATTAAACTAAAGAGAAGGTCATTGCCATTTTCTTTGTTGACCCATCCCTCATTAAAGGCAGAATGAAGGAACAAGACAGCAAAGAATGTGACTGGCCCCATGGAAAGGAAGCTGAATCCTATCCTGGGGACTCTGTCTAGATGTTCCAGGTGGTAACCAACAGCAACATGATAGAGCGGTTTATGCAGACTTCACACATGTGAGGAGCAAGCTTGGAAGTTCAAGGAGTTTGATGTAAGCTGCTCTGTCTAGTAGGTGTTGTGGTTCTCCCACCTCCCATATACTTTCATCCATTCACCCCTCTCTGAGTTAGTATCCTGATCTCACCTGGGCGTCCTCACCTCTTTCTCTTTGTTCTTTGTCTTAAGCCTTAAGGGATAAGGATGTGACCTCAGGCTTTAGATCATTACCGTAATCCTGTCCTCAAGCCCCAGTAGTACAGAAAAAAAAAAAAATGACCCAATTTTGACTATAGAGATATAAAAAGAGGTTTCCCAGAGATAACAGAGAAGGATGCTTCTTTGCTTTTTTGAGAGAATTTCTGAAGGTGACCTCTCCCTAGATGTGGCTGAAAAAAAACGTATATTTGTGTATTAGGGTTCTTGCACACAATAGGAGTGAACTGTAGATAGTTTAAGCAGAATGCAAATTGATTGAAGGATATCAGGGAATTCACAGACTCTATGGAAATGCCAAAGAATCCAGCTTTCCCAGAGAGAGCCACACAACAATATGTACTATTGCGGAACTGCTCCAGAGAAAACACCAGTTGCCCTCACTGAGCACAAATACCCCACTGGCAAAGGGTGCTGGGCCCTAGGGACTTTCACCTGAACCTCTGCAACTGCTGCTTCTGGAGATAATACTGCCACTCTTGCCAGGAGGGTTTCTGCATGGTGCTTATGTCTTCATGTCACCAGATTTCACAGAGCTGCAAGGGAGACTGGGAAACAGAATTTCTGAATTTCACATTGAGGAAATAAGGACTTATAAAATGGAAAACTCTCCATAGGAAAGGTTTTCAAAGGTGCCTTGCGGCCATAAATAAAGCATATGTCCACTATACCTTGGGAGTTGTTGTCAACCATCTTGTAACCTTGATAGGGAATTAGCCTGATGTGCCAGAAGTCAGAAAACAGAGTTAGTAAGAAACTGGGTGGATGATAATATCTCTGGGATGCTGAATCAAACCCCAGATGAAATCCAATTTATTTCTGGGATCTCAGTCCATTACCTAATAAATCCCCCCCATTGTTTAAACATGTTTGAATTGAGGGTTTTTTGTTTTGTTCTTTACAAATGACTGCATCCTAATTGATACAGTGTACAAACAAAAAATCATTAGAAAACACTCCTAAATTCTGAATGATGGCATTACTGGATTATAAAGTATGTGCATTTTAAATCTGGATATATACTATACTAGATTACCTTCCAAATTTTTGCACAATTTGTTATTTCTACTAACAATTTTTGATAGTTTTCTCATACCCTCGCTAACACTAAATTCTATCCTACTTTCTAATATTTATTAACCTGTTAGATGAAAAGTAGTACATCATTGTACTTTTTATGTTTAATGAATGGATTATGAGTGAAATCAAAACTCTTTTAAGTGTTATCAGTATTTCTGTTAGCTGCCTTTTTGGGACCTTTTTCTATTGGATTACTCATCATTATCTTTATTGACTAATAAATACTCTTTACTTAAGAAAATCATCCTTTTGTCATATATCTTGCATTGCCATTTTGTAATGTGCCTTTTGGAGTGTGTGTGTATGTTTAACATTCAAACTGACTAGATGTACACAGTGCATGATGTTTCTCCTGTGTTTTTGCTCTTCCATGTTAAGTTCAGGAACAGAGTCCAAAGGATCAATCCTGCTTATAACTGACTTTGAGAAAGATTGAAAACTTCTCCAGTCCACACAGACACCAGCCTCTGCTACCTCTGCCCCACAAGGTGTCACTGTTGAGACACAGAATACCTGCTATATCAAGACCTTTCACAAGATGGAGCTATTAAAATTTAAATGCTCTGACAATTTGTGGTTCCAAAGTTAAAAACCTTTGTGGCTCTTTTTCCTAGGACACACCTGTGATGCTAGAGTAAAATTTGTAGGAGCTCAGCTAGAAACTTGACGTTGCAGCCAGTAATGTTAAGCCCAGGTAAGCAGTCCAGGCTCCCCTCTCCATGGTAAATTTCTCCTGTCTTTTGCTGCCATGTCAAGTCCAGGCCACTTCAGTCCAGAGATGATATAGTAAATTAACCTTCCTAAAGGAAGTGGTCACAGTCTCAGTAACTGCCTTCCCAGAAGATTAGTCTTTGGGAAAATTTGCTGATTTTCTCCCAGCAGCCTTCAAACTTTTTATACCAAAGGAAATGATGAAAAGAGCTTCATTGTCAATTCTCAAATGTCCAGCTGCAACCTTCCCTGTGTTTCCTTACATCTAGTTAATTAAAATGATCCTTCAACGTGCCTCCCAGAACAAAGGGCTATTGGGGGATCTCCAGTAACAGTTGCTTTATTTATTTGAGGCGGTTCAGTCCAGTGAATAAGAATGTCTGGAATCCTGACTTCCAGAGTTTAAATTGAAACTATAATATTTATCAACTGTGTCACTCTAAGCCATTCACTCAACATCTCCAAGCCTCAGTCTTCACATCTAAAGATGTTAAAGAATACTACCTACCCCCAAGGGCTATTGTGGGAATTAAATAAAATACACTAAATACCTGACAGGTTACCTAGAACACAGTAAGTACTCAGTGTTAGCTACTGTTGCTCTTTTTCTTTTAAATTTTATCACTATCATTACTGAAAGCCCCTCTTTCTTTTTTCTTCTTCTTCTTAATAGAAAAGAAGTCTTTCTTTTTGCCCAGGCTGGTCTTGAGCTCCTGGACTCAAGTGAGCCTCCTGCCTCAGCCTGCCAAAGTAATGGAATTACAGGTATGAGCCACCGTGTCTAGCCAAAAGCCCCTCTTTTTATCTCCTCAATGTTTGGAAGTAGAAATAATTTATCTCTAGAAAGAAAACATTCTGTTAACAAATGATGGACGATGGACAGAGTTCAGAGAATTTTGTTTCTCACCAGTTCTCATTTTAGTTCCCCATGAATCAACTTCTTACCAATAATGACCACTTTTTATATGATAAATTTAATACTATGTCTTGCTGTTTAAAAAACTTTAAATGAAATTAACACATTTATTTGAATAAAACAATGATTCATGAATTGGAAGCACCAAGATCAAAAGAGGTTATGGGCTCTGCTCTGGAAGCAGCTACCTTTTATAGGCTGAACACAGAAGCAAAGTAAAGAAATTACTTGAATTGCTGCAGTTAAGTGTTTGCCTTATTTGGGTATAGTCTGACGGGAGACTCCTAGTTATATAGCCAATCCACTCAATGGCTGTTTGTGTTTGGTTAGGGCTTTGTTTTTGTTTGTCTATTTAAGTCGGTTATAAGAAATACCTCTAAACTGGGCTTTGGGCTGGGCGAGGTGGCTCATGCTTGTAATCCCAGCACTTTGGAAGGCCGAGGCAGACAGATCACTTGAGGTCAGGAGTTTGAGACCAGCCAGGCCAACATGGTAAAACCCTGTCGCTACCAAAAAAGATAAAAAATTAGCCGGGTGCAGTAGTATGCACTTATAATCCCAGCTACTCGAGAGGCTGAGGCAGGAGAATCACTTGAACTTGGGAGGCAGAGGTTGCAGTGAGCTGAGATCATGCCACTGCACTCCAGCCTGGGTGACAAAGCCAGACTCCATCTCAAAAAAATACATAATTAAATTTTAAAAAATAAGGCTTCAGCTTGCTTATGTAAGGGCTCAGGGTGCAGAAACAACCTCAGGCTAGTGGCCTTATTTACTTTAAAACTGCTGAAACATCCCACTGCCATAGGAAATTTAAGCCAGTTTTCTATAGTTGAGTATTTAAGATGTTTCTACTCTTTTTTTTTTTTTTTTTTTTTTTTGAGAGAAACAGGGTCTTACTCTGCACCCAGGGTGGAATGCAGTGGTGCAATCATAGCTCACTGTACCCTCAAACTCCTGAGCTCAGATGATCCTCCTGCTTCAGCCTCCCAAGTAGCTAGTACTACAGGCACACACAACGATGCCCAGCTAATTTTTAAATTCTTTTTAGAGATGGGGTCTCACTATGTTGCCCAGGCTGGTCTTGAACTCCTGGCCTCAAACAACCCTTCTGCCTCAGTCTTCTAAAGCACTGGAGTTACAGATATATCACCCCACCAGACCTGTTTCCACTTTCTTAATGTTGTAAACGACGTGGCCAAAATGGTATTTAACTCTTTATGCACATTCATCATTCATTATTATCTTGGTGGAATAAATTCTAAGTACTGATTTTTTTTTTTTTTTTTTTTTTTTTTTGAGACAGAGTCTCACTTTGTCACCCAGGTGCAATGGTGTAATCATAACTCACTGTAGCCTCAAACTTTTGGGCTCAAATGATCCTCCTGCCTCAGCTTCCCAAGCAGCTAGGACTTATAGGCACATGCCACCATGCCTAGCTCATTGTTTTATTTTTTGTAGAGATGGGGTCTGACTATGTTGCCCAGGCTGGTCTCCAACTCCTGGGCTAAAGTGATCCTCCCACCTCAGCCTCAAAGTGCTGTGATTATAAGGATGAGCCACTGTGCCCGACCTAACGTGGACGTTTTTAAAAGCTTTTTATCTGGTTTACAAAATTTTGCCTCATCTAGAAGAGATGGTTGACTGCATTTCTAACAGCAGTGCATGTAAGTTGCTGAAATCTTAACCAACATTAGCTATTTTGAGGGTTTTATTTAATCTTCACCAATTAAAAAGGTGAAAATTTTTTTCTCACAGTTTTAATTTGCATTTATTTTATTTCTAGTAAGGCTATGGATTTTTAAATGTTTCTCAGCCAATTATTTATACTCTTTTATGCTTTTTTCTTTTGTCTTTCTTTTCAGTTCTAGACCTGCAGATGTACTCTATTGAATTACTGTTGTGAATGTTTCTTTTGGATAATTTATTTTTTCTTGTAAGAGTGCTTTCTATTATAAGAATAACAGCCCTTTATTTTTCATGTTGTAAATATTTTCCCCAATTTGTGCTTGCATTTTCATTATATTTATGGAATTTTAAAGCACCAGGTTTCTGACACATGGAATTTTCTACTCTTATAGACTCATACATTGTGAAATATCAGAACATTAGAGACAAACAGATAATGCTCTAAGTGTCTGAAGAGGGGTAGAAAACAGGCCACGTATAAGGAATGATAATAAAAATGACTCTGGGCTTCTCAGCAACATTTGAAGGAAGAAAACAATGGAAGAGTTCTTCAGTGTAAAAGAAAATGCCCTCCAACCTAGAATCCTATAACCAACCAAACTGGCAATGTGAAGATTGACTGTAGACACTTGCAACATCTGAAGAAAACTAGGCCAGGCACGGTGGCTCATGCCCGTAATCCCAGCACTTTGGGAGGCCAAGGCGGGCAGATCACTTGAGGCCAGAAGTCAAGAGACCAGCTTGGCCAACATGGTGAAACCCCGTCTCTAATAAAAAGACAGAAATTAGCTGAGTATGGTGGTGGGTGCCTGTAGTCCCAGCTACTTGGGAGGCTGAGGCAGAAGAATTGCTTGAACCTACGAGGCAGAGGTTGCAGGGAGCCAAGATCACACCTCTGCACACAGTGAGACTCCATCTCAAAAAAAAAAAAAAATCTGAAAAAAAATTATTATTTGTATTGATTTTCTTTGCTGCTATAACAAATTGCTATAAACTTAGTAGCTTAAAAGAACATAAATCTATTCTCTTACAATTCCGGAGATCAGAATTTCTAAATCAAGATGTTAGCAGGACTGTTTCCCTTCCAGAGGCTCTAGAGGAGAATCCATTCCTTATCTTCCTTCCTGCCAGAGGCTGCCTTCATTCCTTGTCTTGTGGCCCCTTCCTTCATTCATCCGTATTTAAAACCAGGACATCTCTCTCTTCTCTCTGTCTCTCCCTGTCTCTGTCTGTCTGTCTGTCTCTTTCTCTCATACGTACATGCACATGCACACATATATCTCCTACTGTCCTATTAGATGGACTTTTATTACTACATGGGGCCACCCAAATAATCCAGGATAATCTCCCAATTTAGACATTCTTAATGTGATCACATCTTCAAAGTCTCTTTTGCCATTTAAGGAAACAGATTTACAAGTTTTAGAGATTAGAATGTGGACATTATAGGGAACCAATATTCTGTCTACTACATCACACAATCACATTGCCTGTACTAAGATAAGAGAGTAATCTGAGAAAGAAGAAAATACAGAATACAGAAAATAAGAGATTCAACACAGAGAAAAGGAAAAGACTCTCCATGCTGGTGGCAAAGTCATGATATTCAAATGACAACTGCACAGCAGTCCTGATCAGGACAGTGTGATATGAGAGAGAGCCATGTCAACTGCTGTCCTTCCCATGTTTTTGCCTTTGTAACGTACCTTTAACTTGATGGATATGCATCATCAAATAGGGAATAAATCTAAATATAGAAAGACAGATCAAGGACCCAGAGAATCTAACTAGAATCCATATGGCTAGATAACAAGAACAAGAACCAACAGAAATAGGTGATATCAAACACAGCCCTGAAGGACTCCAGATATTGGAATTATTAAACGCCAGTATAAGACAACTATATTTACTATTTTAAAAGACACAAAAATTATGCTTGAAAATTTCAACGGGAAACTGGAAACTATAACAAGCAACATAGCATATTTTAAAAAGAATCAGATTGGATGTGACAATGGAAAGAAACCATAAACCAAGTTTAAGATCATGAATGGGTTTCTAGCAGATAGCAAACTGGAAGATACATTGAAAACACAATCATAAAACACTGCAACACTGCTGGGAATTATATTCACATATGTAACTATGTAAACACTGAATATTGATTTCACCAACTACTGTAATATAACTATGTTAAGAAGATTAAGGATAGAAGACAATGGCATTCTAAGACAGATAAATTATCATCTACTGCAATATGAAGCTGATAGATAGTAGCTAAAGGTGGTATATGCCTATCGTTTACAAATTAGGTAGAGGTGTAAGTGGCAGAAGAGAGAGCTAAAAGCATAAAACAAATTGTCTCTAGGAAGGAGGGAAGAAAATAGGGATGGGGAAGGGAAATGCTGTATTTCATAACCTTTTTGGTACTACTTGACTTTTTTAAATCTGTATGTATTATTTTAATAAAATTTAAATTTAAAAATAAAGATAAAAAAGCCATAGGACAGCTTTGCACAGTGACAGTATCATAGCCAACGAGGTTTATCCAAGGCACAATTATTGCTAATTGAAAACTTTTCCCAATACCCCGCCATGACAACTTAAAATATAGTCAGCATTGGCAATTTTTTACAGTCTCTATGGAGAGTGAATTAAAAAAAAAAAAGCCATAGGACTGGATGAGATCATGAAGTAGACAGATAAATACACACACACACACACACACACACACACACACAC